TGATCTACTAGCACATGACGGCCTACCCGTTTCTTCAGTTAGCGATAGAAACAGCAGAGGGAGAGTCCGCCAGTTCGAATACGGAGCAAGAAGAGTTAACAAGTACCTTGGCCGCAGCAGAAGAGCGCCTGTGTACCTTAGCGGCTGAGCTGGAGGCTTTAAAGGTGTACCGACTGACGTTTGTGTCTATAGAGTTGAAGTCCCTAAACATTAATACCCGATGATTTATAATTATACGAATGCAACCCGTTATGGATGTAATTATTTTTATTATGATGGACAGTACTATAGTTATTATTGTGATTAAGATCATGTTGGATGCTATTGTGGGTGTTGTTATTGACTATGGATAGTGCTATAGTCCACAGCAGCAAAGCAATTGGCACTGACGAGGTGCACCTAGAGTCTATGGCCATACAGTCTCGCTACTTGTATGTCAAGCTAAAACCCTTGACTAATCCTAAACCTAAACCTAAACCCTAAAGCTATAATGCCTAAAACACCAACCCCTCTAAATCGATATTCCATCCCCGAATGTGGGAGATTTCAAATGAGTGTACATCTGTTACAGCAGACTCGCTACTACATTGTGGTCATACTACATTTCTTAATATGTTTTGTTAAGCGCATCTGTGTATTCTGAACGTCATCATTTCTCATTCCGTAATCCGTTTTGTTAAACGTATCTGTGTCGGGTATATGTCAGATGGCAACAACACAGGCAGAGGGAGACACCGAAGTGTCCGACAAGGCTCGTGACGATCTTAACGCGTCATTGGTCGCAGCGGAAAAGCGGGTGAGCGTCTTAGAGGCTGAGCTGGAAGCTTCAAAGGTATCTCTACCCGAGTGTGTCGTACGTCATTCGAGAGTTAAAGATCTCTTTATATGGGTAGGCGCTTGCCTTATTCGGCTATACTATATTCAGGATTGAGCGTGATAGGGAGTGCCATAATCATCCTCTACTGTGTTTTATTCCTTACGCGCATTGCAGACTGCTGTGAGCGAGTTGGAGTCGGAAAAACAGAATATGGGACAGCGCCTGTCTGAGCTAGAGACCACAATCGCTGACACCACAGGGCTTTTGACTGATGCGAAGGTATTGGTATTGGCGTATTGCTTCTTGCTGTTGCTATGCTATCGGTATATGCTATCACTGTGATTGAGTACACGCAGTGGACACTACAGGATAGTGTGGCCAGAGAACACAACAGAGACTGACAGTCTCTCTCTCTCGCGTTGTAGTCCATCACATGTTCTTTTGTTCATACCATGGGTTTAGGGGTTTAAGGTTTTAGGGTTTCAGAGCCACGGTCGTGGTGAATGTGCACGTGCTAGTCACCAACTCATTTGCACTCGAGATCGTGTCCCTCACTCCCATTTTATGTCTTTATTTTTATAAACCGATGCTGAACTACTCTGCTCGCTGCGGTACATTCACTACAGACCGCTGTTGCGGATTTAGAGGCGGAAAAACAGGCGGTGCAGCAGCAGTTAACATCACTTGAAACAGAGAAGGTTGAGTGGACGGAGACAGTCGCCGATGCGAAGGTATCGAACTGTGTGGCTGCCTGGAGAGGCTGTGGTGTGAAGAAGCGCATGTTTCACTATAGTTGTGCTAACGGACGGGGCAGAGTTGTTGATGACAGTTATAAGAAATATGGCCGTTGCCTACATCTGAACATTCATCAACACACGAACCTTGTTGCTATACTTATAATCATATGAAACAGACAATACCAGGAGAAGATAACACCACAACTAAAATTGTAAAACAATCCAGCGAAATGCTGAGAGAAAAACACTAGCACTGTGTGGACATATATAACACTAGCACTGTGTGGACATATTTGACACTAGCACTGTGTGGACATATATAACTCTAGCACTGTGTGTACATATATAGCACTAGCACTGTGTGGACATATATAACACTAGCACTGTATGGGCATATATAACACTAGCACTGTGTGGATATATTTGACACTAGCACTGTGTGGACATGTAGAACACTAGCACTGTGTGGACATATATAACACCAGTACTGTGAGGACATATTGACACTAGCACTGTGTGGACATATATAACACTAGGACTGTTTGAGCGCATATATAACACTGGCACTGTGTGGACATATATTTCACTAGCATTGTGTGGACATATTTGACACTAGCACGGTGTGGACATATATAACACTAGGACTGTGTGGACATATATAACACTAGCACTGTGTGGACATATACTACACTAGCACTGTGTGGACATATACTACACTAGCGCTGTGTGGACATATATTACACTAGCACTGTGAGGACATATAGAATACTAGCACTGTGTGGACATATATAACACTAGCACTGTGTGGAC